AGGAAGTGAGAGGTATTTAGAGGTTTCTGTCTAAAATAACATCACATATGTAGGGGACATCTATCTGACATTACTGTTGTTGTGTACCTGGGTGGGGTCCATCCTGGCCAATGGAGTCCAGTGTTTTGTCTGTATCGTATGTTGGTTGTTTTGGCTGTGCGGGCGGCCTACGTAAACTCCTCTCTCCTAGAGTGGGCTTCACATTGAATCGAACGGGGTTCTCATATCGCTCCTGGCGTCTATGTTCTATGTGGTCATTGATTATTTTTTGTGACTGTAAAAGAAAACATTTTATTGTATTATATATAAATAATGGATGGAGTGAATTCTTCCATTGCTTGATCAGCTTCCCTGATACTTTAGTTACTGATCATACAGTGGCCAAGATTCCGGTATAATCGTTATATGTTAAAATCTAAACATCTCACAATAATTGACAATTTCAACAATTCAAGTGTCATATATTTAAACTTTTGCACAACTTCACAATCTGTTGTGGTGCTTGTTAAGATGCCATGTCTCAAATCAATATTTGCCATCATAACTGAATTTGAAAAAAAATACGATACTTTAATGTTGTATCGAAATACACTTTCCCTTGAGCCTTTGTAGTTTTGAAAACTATCTGTCAGTATTTTTTTTACTAAATTTTTGCTGTTCCTGATCAGTTAGAAAATATATTCTGTCCGTGCGGTTTCATATATTTATGGCCCTAAAATACTGGAAATACAACAATCCCTGTCATTCCCTATCAGAGACCAAGCTTAAATAATCAACTGATACCTTTTGAGCACTGAGGATAAGATTTTGGTCTGCCATCGTTTCTGTGATCCTGAGGTTGTTTTTGACAGCTTTCGAAGCTGTTGAACGGGCGTGCATTGGTAATCTGTTCTGGTACGCTCGGTCGGTGAAGTCAATTTCATCATCTTTAGTTTGTTTTCGAACTCTGCAATTAAAAACCATAATATAAAGCATTATCGGTAATAGAAAAAATCATATAGCTTTTTTAATACAGAAATATAAGAAGGAATTTAAAAACAGTTGATTAAAATTTACTGTTAATTAACAGTAAACAAAGGAAGAGTTCAATTATAATTGAAAATGAAGTTTAACAATGTGAAAGGGATGTACATTTGAAGTTTAACATGTGAAAGTTGACATTACAAATTATGTTTAAATTTAGCTGTAAAAAAAATGAAATAAATCAAAATCTTACTTCCTATTTGTTAAAATTTCATAAATTCGTTCGGTGAGAAGTGTAGAGGCTCCCTCCTTGCAGTGAATGGTTCCCTCTAACAGTTCCTCGGCTATATCTAGGTTGTGTCTTTTAATGAACTAAAATGTGAAGATGAAAAAACTATTAGTGTTATCCAAATAAATTTCACATCAAACTAAATATATATAACATACTTATGAAATTTATTTCAAAAATGTTAAAAATGTAAATTTGTACCTGCATAGTTAAATACTATTAATATATAAAAGGAAGTATACCTGGAACAGGACTGGCATATATTAATCATATATTTCAAAAGTTATTGCCGCAACATTTTAATTTGGTAAAACCGCAGTTTACACTTGCACTATTCGAACACCCAGGGTCGGGGCTACCAGGTATGTCAAGACTAGTAAAAATTAAATTACTTGTTATGGAAATAAAGGTTCGGATAATAGAATTGTTCAAACTCTGTCTGCAATCCAGGACTCCATACATGAAACTTTACGTCCCTTAAAAAAGTGTTTGCTTCTTATATTCACGTTAAACATCAATAAGAAAGCACGTTAAACATCAATAAGAAAGCTATGTGATATTTGGATGAAGGTTCTGATGACAGCATTTATGTTTGTATAAATGGGATTTTGTTAAATTTACTTACCAATCTGAGTAAACTCCAATTTTTTAACTTTGAGTCTAGTGATGTTCCATTGTTATATGAGTGCATTTGAATTTCTTGTGGGAAGTACCATGAAAATACTTCTGCCACTAGGTATCCATTTGTGAGATCCCTGTGAAAAAGGTCAGAGGTTACGACAGAGGAAACATGTATTGGACCCATAATATTAATAACGGGTAAGCTATTTCAATTAATTAACGATTATAATCCAATAATGTATTGTAATCATTTTTTTAAACATCATGCACTTTTATCTCAAATGAATGAGTGGTAATCAATGTAAACTTGACACAAGATTCAATATACATTATACATGTAGCTGTAAAACATTTGGATGATCAACCAAATTGATGTTCCAAAATTAAATACACTGAAAAATGTTCATGCTTAATTGAAATTTTACTATAGATTTGCCCGATTGTGTAATTAACAATACCAAAAACAATTAGTTCAATCTACAGCATAACAAAAAAAGGTTCTTATGTTCTTACGTTATCAATGGCAGTGTTAATAATTTGCTGATGTATGTCTTTAAAAATATAAAAAGATCTATTTCTATATATTTTTCATTTAAATCAATTGAAATATTATCAAAGCAAAACTTGATATGTACCACCATGAAATAGAATTTTCTACATTTTCATGTTGTATTACTTTTTTTTTTACTTTTATCATTTTTTATGAAGTATAATTTCGTTCTATTTCGTTACAAAAGGCAGTAAAATTTAATAACTAGATACATGTAGAAATGCATGGAATATAAAGAAATAAAACATTGTTAAAATACTGTACTTTAAACCCTGCTTGTATTGTATTGGTTTAAAAACACTCGACCCTACGTAATGCCCACCAAAGTTTATTTGGTTAAAACAATGCAGTAGCCCTTTGTTTTCTTTTATGTATTCACATAAACATACTGTAACAGCTAAGAAATTTGTGGAGAAAATACTGCCTTATATTACTGGCAAGTTAGCTTTTTCCAGTCATGCGGTACAACCCTGGGACCCGCTCACTGGTTCAGCAACGTCGAGTGGTCAGTAGCTGGATGGGTGACCGACTGCAGGGTACATTATTACCCATAACTTATTAACAGGCACCAGTACGGACCAAAAAACTTATGAACTTATGAACGGTTTACAGGTACCTGTAAACCGTTACAGTTACGAGATGTACGATATAACGATTAACTGAGTGTTGTATATTTATGAATGTAAAAGTTAACCAATTATAGTCAAGGGTACATACTGTTTTAGGTGTATCTAAACCAGTATGTACCCTTGACTATAATTGGTTAACTTTTACATTCATAAATATACAACACTCAGTTAATCGTTATATCGTACATCTCGTAACTGTGTCACCAGCCAAAATGTCGTGATACCGATACGGCTGGAGCTAGTAGTTTAAGGTAGTTTGACACTATATACAATGCACATCCTTAAGTTACACCTGTACAATGTTTTCATTTTCACAGTTCTATACGTGGATCATCTCTGACGTCCACTACAGTTCATATCAATCCATCACTCTTTCCAATTACGTCTCCTTTTTCGTTCTACCACACAGCCTGGAAAACAAGAAAGACAGTCACTTACCACTTTGGTGTCTTTATTTGCCAAGTGAGGTCCAGGCTCTGGATCCATTTAAGAACTTCTCGCGGTAAACCAGACATCTTTACTATTGTGTTGTCATGAGCAACAAACTACTGAATCAATCTAGATCAATTATGTGCTTGATACAGTTGGAACAATTATGTTGAGCGTCAGTTGACAGAGATGACAACAATTAAAAATAATAAGTCGAGATCGGTACAAAATATCCGGATTCCGTATCTAATACATTGGCATACTTGCCAACTTATTAAAAATATCCATGGGTGATTCTGACTATTCAAAATTAAAACACAAATAAAATGTGTATAAACAAAATTACTATTTAAAATGATATATTTTGAGTTGTTTAATTAAATCTTCGAATATAGGAACAGTTCAGCAAATTAAAATGGTTGAAAATACTGAATTTAGAATAAAAAATCGGAATTCTCCCTCTTAAATAGGAAGGGTTGTCAAGCATGCATTGCATGTGAAAAAAATCCTGTTAAAAGGATAAATACTTTATAATAATCAAATCGATTTTAGATTAAAAAAAATCTAAATATTTTGTTTAATCGGGAACCTAATCTACTTATATATAACACTCATGTGTACAAATTCTCAAAGGTACCAGTTACTGTAGTAGATAGTTATATACATTGTATTCATCATAACATAGGAAAAATTATATATATTTTACTTAATAATAATGTTTTAAATGTTTAGCCTCTTACTTATAGTTTGTATCATCAAATTGTAATGTCTTAGGGCTGATTATACTTTCAAGCCTTGGCGAATAAGTATGTTTTGTATAATTAAGTATCGAAATGTAGAGGGAATGGTTCTTGGAATTTAATACTGCTGATAAGGTAGCTCAGTTGGTTAAAGTGACCATGTTGTGATTGGAGGTCCAGGGATCAATCTAGTCATGCCCTGTTGCCTTTTCACTATAAGATAATAGTAGTATAGTTATTCAGAATTGTCGCTGTGTATCATAACAGACCCATTCTTGTCATCAATCAGTTAGTCCATCAAATCTATTTTCTGTCTTTCCATGCTTAAGTCATTTGGAAAGAAAATATTTGTTACCATAGGATATCATGTGTAGTAGGAATATGAGGGTAAAATACTGCCGAGTTAACTTTTCCAGTGTTGCAGTAGATTAACCTCATCAGTTCACTCATTACTTTGATATAGACAATTACAGGCCAGGGTGGTAGATTGATATAGAATGTTGGACACAGACAATCAGAGGCCAGGGTGGTAGATTGATATAGAATGTTGGACACAGACAATCACAGGCCAGGGTGGTAGATTGATATAGAATGTTGGACACAGACAGTTCCAGGCCAGGGTGGTAGATTGATATAGAATGTTGGACACAGACAATCAGAGGCCAGGGTGGTAGATTGATATAGAATGTTGGACACAGATAATCACAGGCCAGGGTGGTAGATTGATATAGAATGTTGGACACAGACAATCAGAGGCCAGGGTGGTAGATTGATATAGAATGTTGGACACAAACAGTTACAGGCCAGGGATGTAGATTGATATAGAATGTTGGACACAGACAGTTCCAGGCCAGGGTGGTAGATTGATATAGAATGTTGTGACACAGACAGTTACAGGCCAGGGCGGTAGATTGATATAGAATGTTGTGACACAGACAGTTACAGGCCAGGGCGGTAGATTGATATAGAATGTTGTGACACAGACAGTTACAGGCCAGGGCGGTAGATTGATATAGAATGTTGTGACACAGACAATTCCAGGCCAGGGTGGTAGATTGATATAGAATGTTGCGTCACAGACAATCACAGGCCAGGGTGGTAGATTGATATAGAATGTTGGACACAAACAGTTACAGGCCAGGGTTGTAGATTGATATAGAATGTTGCGACACAGACAATTACAGGCCAGGGTGGTAGATTGATATAGAATGTTGGACACAGACAATTACAGGCCAGGGTGGTAGATTGATATAGAATGTTGGACACAGACAGTTACAGGCCAGGGTGGTAGATTGATATAGAATGTTGCGACACAGACAATTACAGGCCAGGGTGGTAGATTGATATAGAATGTTGGACACAGACAATTACAGGCCAGGGTGGTAGATTGATATAGAATGTTGGACACAGACAGTTACAGGCCAGGGTGGTAGATTGATATAGAATGTTGCAACACAGACAATTACAGGCCAGGGTGGTAGATTGATATAGAATGTTGGACACAGACAATTACAGGCCAGGGTGGTAGATTGATATAGAATGTTGGACACAGACAGTTACAGGCCAGGGTGGTAGATTGATATAGAATGTTGCAACACAGACAATTACAGGCCAGGGTGGTAGATTGATATAGAATGTTGGACACAGACAATTACAGGCCAGGGTGGTAGATTGATATAGAATGTTGGACACAGACAGTTACAGGCCAGGGTGGTAGATTGATATAGAATGTTGCAACACAGACAATTACAGGCCAGGGTGGTAGATTGATATAGAATGTTGGACACAGACAATTACAGGCCAGGGTGGTAGATTGATATAGAATGTTGGACACAGACAATTACAGGCCAGGGTGGTAGATTGATATAGAATGTTGGACACAGACAATTACAGGCCAGGGTGGTAGATTGATATAGAATGTTGGACACAGACAATTACAGGCCAGGGTGGTAGATTGATATAGAATGTTGGACACAGACAATTACAGGCCAGGGTGGTAGATTGATATAGAATGTTGGACACAGACAATTACAGGCCAGGGTGGTAGATTGATATAGAATGTTGGACACAGACAATTACAGGCCAGGGTGGTAGATTGATATAGAATGTTGGACACAGACAATTACAGGCCAGGGTGGTAGATTGATATAGAATGTTGGACACAGACAATTACAGGCCAGGGTGGTAGATTGATATAGAATGTTGGACACAGACAATTACAGGCCAGGGTGGTAGATTGATATAGAATGTTGGACACAGACAATTACAGGCCAGGGTGGTAGATTGATATAGAATGTTGGACACAGACAATTACAGGCCAGGGTGGTAGATTGATATAGAATGTTGGACACAGACAATTACAGGCCAGGGTGGTAGATTGATATAGAATGTTGCGACTCAGACAATCACAGGCCAGGGTGGTAGATTGATATAGAATGTTGGACACAGACAGTTACAGGCCAGGGTGGTAGATTGATATAGAATGTTGCGACTCAGACAATCACAGGCCAGGGTGGCTACCTTGGATTTCACATGAAAAGTAACAGTGGGTGATGGTGACCTTATACATACTGAATTTAGAGTCAGTCACTTTTGGCATTTTTGAGAAGTTGAAAATATTTTGATCACTCAGAAGCCAGGTTTTAGGTTCAGCACAAAAAGTAAGAACACTTCAGGATTCTTATATTCTTTTTCAGAAAAAAAAACGTAAATCAAGTTTCTGGGTGGATCCTTTTTGTCTGCGATACATTATAAATGAATTGTTTTATGAAATTCAAAAAGATGTCTGAACAACACCCACATGTAGGTGATGGCGAGCCGAAGCTTTCTTGACTTGAGCTCCATTTTGAATTGTAAACACTGTTCTAATTATGATGGCACACATAGTGTTTTCATACATGTCAAAATCACAATAATAATTGCCAATCACCTTCATATAAACTTCATTTATTTTATAACAATTATGAAACAAGTTATTTCAACTTAAATTTATCACTCTTGTTGGCCCGGATGTTAGTGCACGGAGGGTCTAAATGTGAGGAAAACAGAGTACCCGGGGAAAACCCAAGTGGTCGGGTAGGTGACCCCATACCTTTTCATGTCCGATCGGGGAATCCAACCCTTGGTGAAAGGCAAGTGCGCTTTCCACTGCACCACCTGATCACCTTCATGTGATGAACCCAGTTTGTTATTGGCCGTAGTTTATTACATTTTTGGTTGGTAGGTTTATCTCAGGACTGTACAAAGATTACTCTGAAAGGGATGTACAATGTCAATGTAAGGATAAAACCTCATAAGAAACATTTGCACCAATTTTGATGTCAATGGCTGCAGTAACTATTTGAGAATGTCTCAGCCAACCAGATGCAATGTCCAATCCAAAGATATCTTGCACAAAAATTGGTCAAGTAGGTCAAGGTCATTTCTTTGATGAAACTTTGTATTACTCTATCAGACACTCTTCGTTATTAGGAAGAAGTTGTTTATTTTTTTTACAAATATCATTCGACTCCTCTGACCTTAAAAGTAGGTAAAGTTTGTTTACTAGAGGAAATTCATATTACCCACCCCAGTATGCTACTGGTCAAATATCATCATCCAGGGTCTCCTGAGTATGCAGAAGGAGTTGTTTAAACGTTTTTACATTTTTTATGTCTGTGACCTTGAAAGTAGGTCAAGGTCATTTATTTGGGGAAATATTAGCACTTTATGACAGGTATGCGTACCTAATAGCCAACTATCATCACCCTCAGCCTCCTGGTTACTCAGAAGGAGTTGTTTTATATATTTGATGCCTGTGACCTTGAAAGAAAATCAAGGTCACTTATTTGAGGAGAGTTTAACGCACCCCATCACAGCATGCTACTTGCCAAATATCATCACCAAACATGCATTTGGTTTTAGAAGGTTTCACACATTTGACCTCTGTGACCTTTAAAATAGGTCAAGATCATCCATTTGAAGAGAGTTCATAGCACTACTTCCAAGGTAACCCTGGGCCTCCTGGTTATTCAGAAGAAGTTGTTTAAATATTTACATTTATAATACCACTGTGGCCTTGAAGTAGGTAAAGGTCATTTATTGAAGGAAAATTTATAGCACTTCATTTCTAGTACCTAATGGCCAAATATCATTACTCTAGGCCTCTTGGTTATTCAGTTTGTAAAAGTTTTAAACACATTTTCTCCAGGTCATCTTGAAAATACATGTAGATCAAGATAATTCATTTAAGGAAATTCTATAGCACTTCATGCCAGGCAAGTATCATCACTGTGGGCCTCCTGGTTATTCAGAAGAATTTCTTTTATGGTTATTACATATTTGACCCCTGTGATCTTGAAAGTAGGTCAAGGTCATTTATTTGATGAAACTTAATAGCACTCCATCTCAGGTACCCAACGATCAAATACCATGACCCTAGACTCACCATAAGCTCACTGGTACTTCATACCAGCTGAGATAAGAAGGAAAATGCTTGGAAGGAGAAGCTGTTAAAAGGGTTACGCCCATTTCCACTCTCCGGCCCTGCCCTTTTGTTCCCAAGAGGGATAGCGATATCTTCCATTTATACAACAATGATCAAATATCCTTGCCCTATGGATGCTCTATAACAAATTATGTCAAAATCCCTTTAGATATTCTGGACTAGTAGTTGTTTTTAATTGTAGACAATAGATGACGGAGCACAATGGCATAAGCTCACTAACACTCTGTTCCAGATGAGAATGAGAACAAACCAAGTCAAGAAACTTTTACCAAATTTATTGCGTGAATGATCTGAGATTTATAACATCCAAAAGGTGGCGACTAGATCTACAATATCAGAAAAGTAAGTCAAGCTTCGTTGATTCAGCCACATTAATTCCCATTTACCCTTCAGAGAAAAAGACATTGTGTCCCCTGAAACACAAACGGGAGTTACGGTAAGTTATCATGTTTATCTAACTCGAGTTAAATTTTCAAAAAGAGGTTTATCAAGTGAAAATTAATTAATGAGAGTAAGATAAACAAGTTGACCAGCCATCACAAGTTTGGGAATCTGTTTCTCCCATAACATTCATATCATGTCTAGAAAACCATGTTTTCATCAGAAATGCATTATTTCTGTTTCAGATCAGGGAAACTATTGCAAAGAATCTTAATGTCATGATTGAAGATAAGATGCATTGTTATATAACATCACAATTAAAAGATTGCATTGACCAATGAAGTAACACCCAAGGCATTACCCACTAGCGGATAACCAAAACCAAAAAACTCCTAGCAGGTTTATCCAATGGTAGAGAAACCTATAGAGGTTGTGGGGGTGGCAATAGACTATGTACAAGCTAAACAATACCCTACACCTCTAACAAAGGGCAACTGCTTTACTCCATCAGATCATCTACATATTGTGTAATAACACTTCGTAACATGACTGGCTTGGCTTTAATCATGAATTATCTGGCATCTTCATGGGATGATGCCTCCTCAACAGCAACATCATGGATTCTGGACAAAGAAAGAACTTGTGCATGTGTTGTCTTGTTATAGAGTGTGACTTACCAAATCTGTTAAGTATCATTCAGCACAAGACTTGTAGCATACCTATTTTCAGTATCAACTGAACACTTGACAATGTGTTAAGATGTTTTTTTTCTCGTGAGCAGATACTAAAATTATAAAATATCTCCAGTTTTTACAATTGCAGCATTTTATTCAACAGTTTCTCATGAATAATAAAATTTGAGGGAGCTCCTCGAATCATCAAACAGTAGAACAAGAAAAGACATGACTCAACTTTACATAATTCTGATCTTTAGATATTATTTATCAAACCCAGTGATAAAACATTCTAGTTTTAAGTATGGCTGAAGAGTAATATTTTACAAAGAGAACTGTTGATATCTGGAACCATCTACCAGCTGAATGGTAGCGACATTAACAATCAAACAATCTGAGTATAGACAAGGTACACATTGCCAAAAACAGGCTCAGAAATACAATTACAAGGAATTATAAATTTGAGCTTGGAGTTGACAGCAGAGGATATTTGAGTACCAATCCGATATAAAGGTTTGTATCTATGCCAAAGCCTGAATCTCACATAAAATCCTACAATATATTTAGTATAGTTTATTGTAATCCAACTACTTTAATGTTTCTTGGAAAGCTGCTTTGCCACTTTGTTCCTTTACAGTGAGCGAAGGACTGATATTTTAAGAAAAAGCCAATATCTGTATTTGGTATTTTGGTAGTACAGGACAGGAACTGTTTGGATGCTAGATTGTTTTTCCTTCACAGTCCCGTTTAATAAGTTAAAAGCACTGGTCCCAGAGACTCGTGTCACATTCCTACGTCATCTTCTCCAACTCAGACTTTATTTCTGCAATCATTTGGTCTCTTGGTATGTTTTTCTGAAATGAAATTTTAAAGATAATGTATCTTTTACTTTCACATGGAGATGTTAGAAAAAGGCGTATACTTTCCTGATAGAAATGTAGTTCAGTAAAAGCAATGCGTTAATATCTGAGGATACTCATAGTGATAATTATTTGTATTAATTCTCTGATCAATGTTTTGTTAGTATGATCAGCTATTTATGGAATAAAACATCACTATTTGTGACAATGCCAGTGTACACAATAAGCAGTAGGCCTTTATTGACTATAGGAAATATGGTGGTCTATATAAACCAACATATGTTTAGACTGATAGTTTAATATTCAATTATCTGCAAATCACTGTGTGTTGATCGTGAATTCCCACAGAAGACCTAGAGTAGGAGGATGGACATTACATGGTCTATCACCCTGGTGAGGTAAACATCCAGCACAGACTGACCTGTAATTTCTGAAATCAACTTCAGTTATCTCCCTATACCATTGACATTTTTCAATTTATCATTTCATTATAAATTACAAGACAGTTGTGTACAAATGCATCTATACACCTTTAACAGAAAAGAACTGTTATCCACGTAGCCTGTTATTCAATCCTATTCATTTACCGTCTTGAATAAAAAAAAAATGAAATGAAATATTTGTAGACCCATTCATCAAATCCAATATGACCTTACCTCGTCCCGTGTGCCGGTTACTTCCCTCGTCCCGTGTGACGGTGTTTCTCAGCTTTACATACTGGTTCTCTATCCCTGACTGGCCTATGATGACTACCAGGGGAATACCTGATGTGTACTTACCTCGTCCCGTGTGATGGTGTTGCTCAGCTTTACATACTGGTTCTCTATCCCTGACTGGCCTATGATGACTACCAGGGGTAGACGTGAGGTGTACCTACCTCGTCCCGTGTGCTGGTGTTTCTCAGCTTTACATACTGGTTATCTATCTCTGACTGGCCTATGATGACTATCAGGGGTATCCCTGATGTGTACCTACCTCGTCCCGTGTGATGGTGTTTCTCAGCTTGACATACTGGTTCTCTATCTCTGACTGGCCTATGATAACTACCAGGGGTATACCTGATGTGTACCTACTTCGTCCCGTGTGCCGGTGTTTCTCAGCTTTACATACTGGTTATCTATCTCTGACTGGCCTATGATGACTATCAGGGGTATACCTGATGTGTACCTCCCTCGTCCCGTGTGATGGTGTTTCTCTGCTTTACATACTGGTTCTCTATCTCTGACGGGCCTATGATGACTACCAGGGGTATACATGATGTGTACTTACCTCGTCCCGTGTGATGGTGCTTCTCAGCTTTACGTTCTGGTTCTCTATCTCTGACTGGCCTATGATGAATACCAGGGGTATACCTGATGTGTACTTACCTTGTCCCGTGTGATGGTGTTTCTCAGCTTATTCATCAAATCCAATATGACCTTACCTCGTCCCGTGTGCCGGTTACTTCCCTCGTCCCGTGTGACGGTGTTTGTCAGCTTTACATACTGGTTCTCTATCTCTGACGGGCCTATGATGACTACCAGGGGTATACATGATGTGTACTTACCTCGTCCCGTGTGCTGGTGTTTCTCAGCTTTACATACTGGTTATCTATCTCTGACTGGCCTATGATGACTGCCAGAGGGATACCTGATGTCTCACAGTACTGGAACTGGTTCAGTGGTTTGGGACTGGCCTTGTAAGCTTGCTCAGTCTACAACCCAACCCATTCATCAAATCCAATATGACCTTTCCTCGTCCCGTGTGCCGGTTACTTCCCTCGTCCCGTGTGACGGTGTTTGTCAGCTTTACATACTGGTTCTCTATCTATGACTGGCCTATGATGACTACCAGGGGTATACATGATGTGTACTTACCTCGTCCCGTGTGATGGTGCTTCTCAGCTTTACATACTGGTTCTCTATTTCTGACTGGCCTATGATGACTATCAGGGGTATACCTGATGTGTACCTCCCTCGTCCCGTGTGATGGTGTTTCTCTGCTTTACATACTGGTTCTCTATCTCTGACGGGCCTATGATGACTACCAGGGGTATACATGATGTGTACTTACCTCGTCCCGTGTGATGGTGTTTCTCAGCTTTACATACTGGATCTCTATCTCTGACTGGCCTATGATGACTGCCAGAGGTATGCCTGATGTCTCACAGTACTGGAACTGGGTCAGTGGTTTGGGATTGGCCTTGTAAGCTTGCTCAGTCTACAACCCAACCCATTCATCAAATCCAATATGACCTTCCCTCGTCCCGTGTGCCGGTTACTTCCCTCGTCCCGTGTGACGGTGTTTGTCAGCTTTACATACTGGTTCTCTATCTCTGACGGGCCTATGATGACTACCAGGGGTATACATGATGTGTACTTACCTCGTCCCGTGTGATGGTGTTGCTCAGCTTTACATACTGGTTCTCTATCTCTGACTGGCCTATGATGACTGCCAGAGGTATACCTGATGTCTCACAGTACTGGAACTGGTTCAGTGGTTTGGGATTGGCCTTGTAAGCTTGCTCAGTCTACAACCCAGAGGAAAAAGTTTGGTTTGGTATCATTTTGTTTAATGTCCTATTAACAGCTAAGGTCATTTAAGGACGTGCCTCCATGTGTGTAGTGTATGTGCATTGCGTGTGTGTATGCAGGAGACAGGGTATGTTAGTTAGTCAGCAAGTCAGGACGGTTTTACACTTATGCTAATTTCATGAATGTTCATGTCTGTATATCAGTTACCTGGTAATGTAGAAATCTAATTGAAAGTGCAGACAAATACTTGAACCTTTTTTTTAAATGAGGAAATATTTTCAAGACCTATGTAAATTTTTCTATCAATATTTTCTATGTACAAATGCAACTTTTAACTGATAAAAATGATGACCTTGGTATAATTATTGGTAAATGCTTGTTAAGTCATTTTGCCAGAGTGTATTGGCAATATTCACTCTATGATGCTGCTGGTTATTTCCTCTTGCATTACCTTAATATTGGCATCCCAGAGCTCTCGACAGAGTTTTAGGCGCTCCTCCAGCAACCCTTTCTGAGCCGACACAACATACACCTCAGTTTCTGTTGTTCTGATCTTTGTCTTGGCTGCCTACAGGTAACATGAAAGTGATATAAAAGTCAGGATGTAGCTGTCATGTAGTAGCCATGATGTCATGAGCTCTTACTGATAAAAATATCTATGTAATCCTAGCAAGGAACCTGAGTTATAGATAATGTCCACAGCTTAAAGGTACCGATACAAATTAACATAAAGAAGTATGAAATCAAACGTTCCACACTTTTAGTTCACCAGTTAGGAGTTACAGCTAGTGATGTAAACCTGATGTCAGCATTCACTGAAAAACTGACACCGAGATACAGCACCATATCACAGTTACCTGTAATCTGTGAGTTTAAAATCTGTAATATTTCATTTTGAACAACTTGCATTCCTGAACTGAAGTACTTCCCCAATTCATTATAAATAAAAATACATAATTAAAAAAAAAATCAAAGTATCTGGACCAACAACACCCCTGTACCAGAAATCATCAGTGTTTACACTTATACACATTGGCAGACCTTTTCTATGATGGAATTGGTTTCTGTGCTTTGGTGGGGTTTTTGTGTGCTTTATGTCCTATTAACAGCTAACGGTTTTGGTGGTGGAGGAAAGCCGGAGTACACGGAGAAAAACCACCAACCTAATGCAACTACCTGAAAATTGTCCCACATAGGCCTCAAAACTGCAACCCAGTGTTGGAGGGCTAGTGATTGTAGATAGTCAGACACCTTAACCACTCGGCCATCCCGACCCGCTGTTTCTGTGTTTACACTTATAAATATTATTGCTATGAGAAGTCACTTTGTTAACACAAACGTTAATAACAGAGACTTTCCTAGGCATGAAACTTGGCATGAACTTACAATGGCCCGAGCTTCCATGATGGCGAACACACGTTCTATACCGATGCTGACACCAACACATGGTACTTTACGACCTTTTGGGTCAAAAATGCCGACCAGACCATCGTATCGTCCACCTCCAGCCACACTCCCGACAGACACAGACTCATCCCCTTTCTTTGCATTAGGATCATGGGTAAAACCTGAATGTGACAAAATGACAAAAATATTTGTTACACACTTCATAACAAAGCTATCTACAATACAAATTTCCTGTGGCTACTCCAGATAGTATTACATTGTTGGAGACAGGTATGTATATATGGTCAATAACATATCAATGATGGAGTCAAAAATAATCAACGCTTATATTGTGGGCCCAAGGAAAAAAATCTTCTCAGGACTTAACGGTCCCCTGAGTTGTAATAAAATTAATTCTAATTGTTAAAACATTAAGTGAAAACAGGAGGTAAAATATCTTCCTAGGGGAATTTCAAGTGATGAGGACACAGTTCTCACTTTTATATGCTTCATTATTCCTCTGTCAGTGATATCAAATATTTACTTTCTGTCAAACAATTCTGATGGAGTAGTCATTTCAACATTAAATAAATCAAAACTATCGTTTAAAACTTTCCCATCTGCCCCTTGTAAGCCACAGCTCTTATTTAAATAAAACTTTATATCGTTATTCCCGTGATTAAAAAAACCCCATTTTTAGTGGAATTTTAAATCTGACTTGAAAAATGAAAATCAAAATTATAATAACATTTTTCCACTTTCCACATTATCAATGGCAAACATTCACATACCAGTAACTTCCCCGAAACATTCACATATCTTCCCCGAAACATTCACAAAATTACCACAACCATTCACATTTCTCGCCACAACATTCACATAACTTACCACAAACATTCACATATCTAACCCCAAACATTCACATATCTTACCCCAAACATTCACATATCTTACCCAAAACATTCACATATCTTACCCCAAACATTCACATAACTTACCGCAAACATAACTTACGGCAAACATAACTTACCCCAAACATTCACATATCTTACGGCAAACATAACTTACCCCAAACATTCTCCTTTCTTACCCCAACATTCACAAAAACTTTAACCTGGTGATTTTGGATTAAAAAATATTCCAGTCCAAAACTGGCAAAAATCTCACAATTTGTTTCTTAATTTCTATTCCACTGCATCAATATTTACCCCATATTGGGTAATTTCTTTTTATTCTGATTGCACTGCATCAATATTAAACCCTTCAGGAACTTTCATGCCAATTAATTGCACCTAGTACATATCCAAAAATTAACTGAATGGCAAGCTTCTAAAAGAATTGCAACAAAAACTTCTCACATTGGGACCAGATCAAAAATGTTAAGTACCAGAGATCAGTCTTCAAAAAAAAATGTTCATGCCAAATATTAGCTTTCTAATACAACCATTAACTGAATGGCAAGCCTCTAACACTCTCGCACCAGTACTGGAGATCCCACCTTTAAGGACTCCCTCGTAGATGACACCAGTGTAGTAGTCGAGGCCGCGGGCTAGACTCAGGTCAAAGCTGACGTGATCGGAGATGCCGAACAGCTTACAGTACTTAAGGAGAAGGCTGATATCCTGGAGGCCTTCCACCGCAGCCTTCTGGCTCTTAATGGCCTCGTCTTCCAACAACTTCTCTATCAGATCTTGGCCACCTATAATACAAACATCATTATTTTCTCAAGTGGTTCAGCCAGCTTTATTTTACATGTACTTGATGTCCTTATACTGAACATAGAATTGCAAAAGCATTTGAGGCATATGTATAGACCTACAATAATTAATTGTAGACCTTACATTATTGTGGTTTACATATTGAGCCATGTGTACAATGTTGTATAGACCTACAATAATTAATTGTAGACCTTACATTATTGTGGTTTACATATTGAGCCAGGGTGTGTACAATGTTGTATAGACCTACAATAATTAATTGTAGACCTTACATTATTGTGGTTTACATATTGAGCCAGGGTGTGTACAATGTTGTATAGACCTACAATAATTAATTGTAGACCTTACATTATTGTGGTTTACATATTGAGCCAGGGTGTGTACAATGTTGTATAGACCTACAATAATTAATTGTAGACCTTACCTTATTGTGGTTTACATATTGAGCCATGTGTACAATGTTGTACATGTAGTAAGTTAATAGTACCTTGGAGCTTGACATATATCCCAATTTTATCTGCCACTTCCGGGTCGAGTTTTTTCTCTTCGATCATCTCTGTCCGTACATCCTCCCAGAATGTCTAGAAAAAATTAAACACAGTCTCCACTAGCATTGAAGGATTTGGTAGAGTGAAATATTTACCATCATTAAAACTCTAGCTGACAAAACTTAAAATCCTAGTATTGTTTAAAAAAAACCATTAAAGGGCTTGATTAGAGATCAGTACACTGGTCAAGCCTTGTTCATGTAAACACCTTTGTTTTTCATACAAGAGGCCCATTGGGCCTGCTGTTCATGATGTGGCATATGTGTCAAGTTAATTAAAACAAACCTGATAGCAATCAAGCCAACACTATAAAGGTTAAATATCATTACTCTGCAATCTCTGAATCTTTATTGCGAGATTGTTACTTGTGTTACTCGAACATACATTACAACCTTCCGAGTGAATTGAGATCATTTTAACAGCCATTGATATCTCAGTAAGCTACAGGACAAATAGAAACCCTAAACGCTCTTGTTTATTCTAAAGAACTGTTCAAAGGTTTCAACACATTAAACCCTGCAGTGTTTTTTTCTAAAAAATGCTACCATTAAGGAAGCATTTATATTGAAATTGGGAATGAAGATCCAATTTCTTTTTCATTTTGAGAAATTAAAGCAAATTTTGCTAGAGGAAGCAGCCTGTAATTGGCATTAAAACGGAAAGGGAAACAAATGCCCTGTGATATCAAAAGTAGGTCAAGGTCAAGGTCATCCATTTAAACAAATTTAATAGACCTTTTTCCTAACATGCTACTGGCCAAATATCATCAGGCTAGGCATCCCAGCCTTTATCTATACATTAGTGAATTTGATAAGGCCACAGATTGTCCTAATTAGGTCAAAATCCCTTTATTTGCACCTAAGCAGTTCTCTTTAAATTTCAAAATCACACAGTTCATTTATACAATTATCAGTTTACATGGCCCAGGAATGAACTGTGCAAAATATAGTCTAAATATCTACTGTTTAACTGGACAAGTACATGTACTTGGTAGTCTTTTAGAGGAAAAGTTGATGATAGACAATGTGTCATGACATGTTCACTCAGACGGGAACAAGTTTCACATGACCCGGAGAAAAATATTTCTAAATGATTAATGAAGCAACACATTCCAAAATTGTCAAATTCAAAAATCTATTAAAATCTAGTCTTATCTCAACTTCATCCTGACAATCTTTACTTCGTTTTAAGGTTTATAGGGACCTTTTTCATAGTAAATCATTGAAGAAAACTTATCTAATCAGTTTAGGTGTAGAAATATTTTACCAAACAGAGATTTAGTTGTATGATGTGGTTTATTGAGAGACCTCGCTGTACAGAGTTGTTGATGAGACTTTGATCAGCCCCATGCCTTACCTTGTCCAGTTTGTCTACGGAGGAACAAATTGTTCTGAATTTCTCATCTGGTACTCCACAAGCAGCAAACATACCATCTAACAACTTTCTATGGTTCACCTGTAAAAACAAGCATCATACAGAATAAAACACCTTCCTTGTGCTTCACCCTGAACCAACATACTTATAACTCTAATGTGTATTTTTAAGATTATTTTTTGAAAACTAACAGTTAAGAATACTCAATCAGTCAAAAACATATATTACGGTATATCATGGTTTTATAAAGCAAGGTATCATTCCGACCTATTTCTTTCTAACTTCTTTCAGCCATGGTGATTCTACTAGTGAAACTTCACCTCTGATCTCTACATTAAACTAGGCAAACACATACCTTGATAACAAAATCTCCAAGTTCTAATTTGGATAATATTTCTGTTACAATCTTTATACACTCAGCATCAGGTATCATGGGGTCGTACTGTCCTGCTATGTCAAAGTCCTGTAGGGAAGGGAAACAAGTTTATAAACAATAGCCTTTAGGCCGTAAAGGTAATCTTATTATTTTACAAAACTTCAACAAAAATAGGAGTTTTCACCATGTAATCATGTATATACATGCATCTTTAAATTCTCCTTTTCCACTAAAGATGTATCAAAATAAATGTACAACAGAACCTGACTCTCAACACAACAACATTCATAATAACCAGCAAGACATCCTCACTGATGAGAAAACACATAACTCTACTTGTCAATATTGATAAGCAATCTTTCTTGATGAATTAATCCCATGGGCCTTAATGGTTCCCTGGGATTTTATTTTTGTCAATTTAAAATCTGTTGAATACCAAACCCATGCATCAAAGAGTGCAAGAGATGTAAGCTGTACCAAGAACTAAATCCTTTGTGGTGGTCAAGATACCAAGGCTGTGAGTGCATTTGTTTCTTTGTCTAGCAATCTAATTGTGGTTATGGGGCAAGGATTTTTTGTAACCATGTTATGACCCACAGTCCACAAGGTCCAGTCCAAACACTGTAGCCAGTCCCAGTGGTAGAAGTGTATTCATCACTTCAAGTCTAGCAACTCTTTATATGGTTAAAGGGTGGGAATCAGCTGTTCCATGACTAAGGGAGTAAGTACCCAGGGGTGGGTTGTGACCCCAGAGCCAATGCTGAAACAAGAGTGTATTGGTCTCTTGTTGAAAATATGGTTATAGGTTGAGGCCCACAACCTTCATTTACACAACAGTGAATCCCTTTTACCCAAAGATGCTCTAGACAAATTTAGTCAAAATATCTCCTTTTGTATGGAAGGAGAAGGATTTTGAAAACTTCACCTGTTTGCCCAGTGATGCTACAGACCAAACTTGGTTTAAATCCCTATTTCTTTGGAAGAACAAGTATTTTAAAGGGATAACACCCTGATTTGTATCAAAATGAGCTCTCTTTGCCCAACAATGTTCCAGACCAGATTTGATTTAATTCTGGTCTGCTGTTATGGACTAGTAGCCTTTTAAATGAAAAGTTGATGACAGATCCTTTGCAATGGCATCAACTCATGTGGCCAAACGTTGGAAGTGTGCCGAGAAACAAAGTTCTGTAGTCACAGGTCTCCTCTATAAGTTCCTGTTAATACTCACACACTGGTAAAATTCCCTGAACCGGCCACGTGTCATGGCTGGGTTGTCTCGGCGATACACCTTCGCTATGTGGTAGCGCTTGATATTCGATACTTTATTCATGGCTAGATAGCGTGCAAATGGCACCTGTAATCTGAGTTGAGGAATTATAGACATGACATTATGTTGGCCTTTATTTCAGATGAGGATATGAAGTATTAAAGCAATGAAGCATGTTTACATAAATAATTCTTGTTGGCATGGATAGAATCAAGCCAAGATGGGTGTGTGTCTTTGGTACGGAAGAAGCAGGAATACCTGGAGATATTCATTTAAATCTTGCTCATGTTCTAAAAAAGATCTTAAATTTGTTTCCATTTCATGAAATGGGAATTCAAGTATGATCCTTTATATCTGATATATCTGATTTTATAACTAGCCACACTGTGTTCAATTCCTTTCGCTTTAATCAAGTGTTACACAAACTGAGTTTGGACAAAAGTCTGAAATATTTTTCTTCTGAACAAAATTAGAAAAGAACAAAAGAAAATACAGCAGACCATACAGTCAAGGATACTGTCAGATCATATCGGAGGGACAAGAGTTCTCCCCCTTGATCCTTTAAATCATAAATCAACTTGGAGTCTTCACCATACTTCCCTGTTAGTGTTTCCTGCAATGGAATGAAGGAATGACAATGTAAAATGTATTAAGATATTATATATATAAGATATAAAAACTTCACAGCTGACAGATTACATTCCTATTAGGAAATGTTTAAAGTCAACCATAACAATCCTAACATATTAAAAGCTCCTTTTTGAGTAAAATAAAAGTTTTTAAACAAGACCATGATGTATTTATACATAAAATATTTATAGAAATTAATAAAAAAAATGCATCTCATTACCGTTTATTAGCATAAACTTCAGCAGTTTTCCAAGTTACTTCAAACAGCCAAACTTTTGTGATAGCCTTTCCACAACTTGGTCAGATAGCCTCTATGTAACTAGGTCAGATAGCCTCTACATAACTAGGTCAGATAGCCTATCAATAACTAGTTCAGATAACCTCTACATAATTAGGTCAGATAGCCCCTACATAACTAGGTCAGAAAGCCTCTACATAACTAGGTCAGATAGCCTATCAATAACTAGTTTAGATAGCCTCTACATAATTAGGTCAGATAGCCCTTACATAACTAGATCAGATAGCCTCTCAATAACTAGGTCATATAGCCCCTACATAACTAGGTCATATAGCCTCTACATAACTAGGTCATATATCCCCCAAATTAACTAGGTCAGATAGCCTCTACATAACAAGGTCAGATAGCCTCTACATAACAAGGTCAGATAGCCTCTCAATAACTAGTTCAGATAGCCTCTACATAATTAGGTCAGATAGCCCCTACATAACTCGGTCAGATAGTCTCTCAATAACTAGGTCATATAGACCCTACATAACTAGGTAAGATAGCCTCTACATAACTAGGTCATATATCCCCTACATAACTAGGTCAGATAGCCTCTACATAACTAGGTCAGATAGTTTATATGTAACTAGGTCAGAAAGCCTCTACATAACTAGGTCAGATAGCCTTGCAATAACTAGTTCAGATAGCCTCTCAATAACTAGGTTAGATAGCCTCTACATAACTAGGTCAGATAGCCTCTACATAACTAGGTCAGATAACCTCTACATAGCTAGGTCAGATAGCCTCTACATAACTAGGTCAGATAACCTCTACATAACTAGGTCAGATAATCTCTACATAACTAGGTTAGATAGCCCCTAGTCGTAACTAGGTAAGATAGTTTATATGTAACTAGGTCAGATTTTGTTTGGAAAAAGAAAAAAAGTTTCATGGTATAGTTTAAACTATTCCAAAAATTCTTCCTATGTATCTAGAAAAGTAGCTTACCTTAAGCTCAAATACAGGTGTGTCGATGGTTTCTGCTCCATGGCGTTTGAAGGTTGCAACAATAGTGTTGAATACACTCTCCCTAATTGCCATCTGTATGGGAGTGTAATCTTTTGTGCCCTGTAATACAACCAGACTAATATCATTATACAGCTCAAAATAACATTCAACATTTCTTGACCAACAGTTAGACAAGGTGCACAGCTCTATAAATAGAGAAGGTCAGTCCAATTTATATACTTCATTTACATCCTTTGATGTACAAAGTGTTATGTGTTATGTTATAGGCAGTTCTTAGGAAGGATTAGTGCAAAATGGCTGTATGACTTGGAGAGATAACTCCAATGTATACTTACTACACACCCTCATTGTAAGTGTTTTGAGTACCAAGTATCATTCCAGTCAGTGAAGTACTCAAGAGTATACTTACAACACACCCTCATTGTAAGTGTTTTGAGTACCGAGTATCCTTCCAGTCAGTGAAGTACTCAAGAGTATACTTATTACTTCACACCCCTCATTGTAAGTGTTTTGAGTACCAAGTACCATTCCAGTCAGTGAAGTGTTTAAGAGTATACTTACTTCACACCCCTCATTGTAAGTGTTTTGAGTACCAAGTACCATTCCAGTCAGTGAAGTGTTTAAGAGTATACTTATTTCACACCCCTCATTGTAAGTGTTTTGAGTACCAAGTATCATTCCAGTTAGTGAAGTACTCAAGAGTATACTTACTTCACACCCCTGATTGTAAGCGTTTTGAGTACCAAGTATCTTTCCAGTCAGTGAAGTGTTTAAGAGTATACTTACTTCACACCCCTGATTGTAAGTGTTTTGAGTACCAAGTATCTTTCCAGTCAGTGAAGTGTTTAAGAGTATACTTACTTCACACCCCTCATTGTAAGTGTTTTGAGTACCAAGTATCATTCCAGTCAGTGAAGTGTTTAAGAGTATACTTACTTCACACCCCTCATTGTAAGTGTTTTGAGTACCAAGTATCATTCCAGTCAGTGAAGTACTCAAGAGTATACTTACTTCACACCCCTCATTGTAAGTGTTTTGAGTACCAAGTATCATTCCAGTCAGTGAAGTACTCAAGAGTATACTTACTTCACACCCCTCATTGTAAGTGTTTTGAGTACCAAGTATCATTCCAGTCAGTGAAGTACTCAAGAGTATACTTACTTCACACCCCTCATTGTAAGTGTTTTGAGTACCAAGTATCATTCCAGTCAGTGAAGTACTCAAGAGTATACTTACTTCACACCCCTCATTGTAAGTGTTTTGAGTACCAAGTATCATTCCAGTCAGTGAAGTACTCAAGAGTATACTTACTTCACACCCCTCATTGTAAGTGTTTTGAGTACCAAGTATCATTCCAGTCAGTGAAGTACTCAAGAGTATACTTACTTCACACCCCTCATTGTAAGTGTTTTGAGTACCAAGTATCATTCCAGTCAGTGAAGTACTCAAGAGTATACTTACTTCACACCCCTCATTGTAAGTGTTTTGAGTACCAAGTATCATTCCAGTCAGTGAAGTACTCAAGAGTATACTTACTTCACACCCCTCATTGTAAGTGTTTTGAGTACCAAGTATCATTCCAGTCAGTGAAGTACTCAAGAGTATACTTACTTCACACCCCTCATTGTAAGTGTTTTGAGTACCAAGTATCATTCCAGTCAGTGAAGTACTCAAGAGTATACTTACTTCACACCCCTCATTGTAAGTGTTTTGAGTACCAAGTATCATTCCAGTCAGTGAAGTACTCAAGAGTATACTTACTTCACACCCCTCATTGTAAGTGTTTTGAGTACCAAGTATCATTCCAGTCAGTGAAGTACTCAAGAGTATACTTACTTCACACCCCTCATTGTAAGTGTTTTGAGTACCAAGTATCATTCCAGTCAGTGAAGTACTCAAGAGTATACTTACTTCACACCCCTCATTGTAAGTGTTTTGAGTACCAAGTATCATTCCAGTCAGTGAAGTACTCAAGAGTATACTTACTTCACACCCCTCATTGTAAGTGTTTTGAGTACCAAGTATCATTCCAGTCAGTGAAGTACTCAAGAGTATACTTACTTCACACCCCTCATTGTAAGTGTTTTGAGTACCAAGTATCATTCCAGTCAGTGAAGTACTCAAGAGTATACTTACTTCACACCCCTCATTGTAAGTGTTTTGAGTACCAAGTATCATTCCAGTCAGTGAAGTACTCAAGAGTATACTTACTTCACACCCCTCATTGTAAGTGTTTTGAGTACCAAGTATCATTCCAGTCAGTGAAGTACTCAAGAGTATACTTACTTCACACCCCTCATTGTAAGTGTTTTGAGTACCAAGTATCATTCCAGTCAGTGAAGTACTCAAGAGTATACTTACTTCACACCCCTCATTGTAAGTGTTTTGAGTACCAAGTATCATTCCAGTCAGTGAAGTACTCAAGAGTATACTTACTTCACACCCCTCATTGTAAGTGTTTTGAGTACCAAGTATCATTCCAGTCAGTGAAGTACTCAAGAGTATACTTACTTCACACCCCTCATTGTAAGTGTTTTGAGTACCAAGTATCATTCCAGTCAGTGAAGTACTCAAGAGTATACTTACTTCACACCCCTCATTGTAAGTGTTTTGAGTACCAAGTATCATTCCAGTCAGTGAAGTACTCAAGAGTATACTTACTTCACACCCCTCATTGTAAGTGTTTTGAGTACCAAGTATCATTCCAGTCAGTGAAGTACTCAAGAGTATACTTACTTCACACCCCTCATTGTAAGTGTTTTGAGTACCAAGTATCATTCCAGTCAGTGAAGTACTCAAGAGTATACTTACTTCACACCCCTCATTGTAAGTGTTTTGAGTACCAAGTATCATTCCAGTCAGTGAAGTACTCAAGAGTATACTTACTTCACACCCCTCATTGTAAGTGTTTTGAGTACCAAGTATCATTCCAGTCAGTGAAGTACTCAAGAGTATACTTACTTCACACCCCTCATTGTAAGTGTTTTGAGTACCAAGTATCATTCCAGTCAGTGAAGTACTCAAGAGTATACTTACTTCACACCCCTCATTGTAAGTGTTTTGAGTACCAAGTATCATTCCAGTCAGTGAAGTACTCAAGAGTATACTTACTTCACACCCCTCATTGTAAGTGTTTTGAGTACCAAGTATCATTCCAGTCAGTGAAGTACTCAAGAGTATACTTACTTCACACCCCTCATTGTAAGTGTTTTGAGTACCAAGTATCATTCCAGTCAGTGAAGTACTCAAGAGTATACTTACTTCACACCCCTCATTGTAAGTGTTTTGAGTACCAAGTATCATTCCAGTCAGTGAAGTACTCAAGAGTATACTTACTTCACACCCCTCATTGTAAGTGTTTTGAGTACCAAGTATCATTCCAGTCAGTGAAGTACTCAAGAGTATACTTACTTCACACCCCTCATTGTAAGTGTTTTGAGTACCAAGTATCATTCCAGTCAGTGAAGTACTCAAGAGTATACTTACTTCACACCCCTCATTGTAAGTGTTTTGAGTACCAAGTATCATTCCAGTCAGTGAAGTACTCAAGAGTATACTTACTTCACACCCCTCATTGTAAGTGTTTTGAGTACCAAGTATCATTCCAGTCAGTGAAGTACTCAAGAGTATACTTACTTCACACCCCTCATTGTAAGTGTTTTGAGTACCAAGTATCATTCCAGTCAGTGAAGTACTCAAGAGTATACTTACTTCACACCCCTCATTGTAAGTGTTTTGAGTACCAAGTATCATTCCAGTCAGTGAAGTACTCAAGAGTATACTTACTTCACACCCCTCATTGTAAGTGTTTTGAGTACCAAGTATCATTCCAGTCAGTGAAGTACTCAAGAGTATACTTACTTCACACCCCTCATTGTAAGTGTTTTGAGTACCAAGTATCATTCCAGTCAGTGAAGTACTCAAGAGTATACTTACTTCACACCCCTCATTGTAAGTGTTTTGAGTACCAAGTATCATTCCAGTCAGTGAAGTACTCAAGAGTATACTTACTTCACACCCCTCATTGTAAGTGTTTTGAGTACCAAGTATCATTCCAGTCAGTGAAGTACTCAAGAGTATACTTACTTCACACCCCTCATTGTAAGTGTTTTGAGTACCAAGTATCATTCCAGTCAGTGAAGTACTCAAGAGTATACTTACTTCACACCCCTCATTGTAAGTGTTTTGAGTACCAAGTATCATTCCAGTCAGTGAAGTACTCAAGAGTATACTTACTTCACACCCCTCATTGTAAGTGTTTTGAGTACCAAGTATCATTCCAGTCAGTGAAGTACTCAAGAGTATACTTACTTCACACCCCTCATTGTAAGTGTTTTGAGTACCAAGTATCATTCCAGTCAGTGAAGTACTCAAGAGTATACTTACTTCACACCCCTCATTGTAAGTGTTTTGAGTACCAAGTATCATTCCAGTCAGTGAAGTACTCAAGAGTATACTTACTTCACACCCCTCATTGTAAGTGTTTTGAGTACCAAGTATCATTCCAGTCAGTGAAGTACTCAAGAGTATACTTACTTCACACCCCTCATTGTAAGTGTTTTGAGTACCAAGTATCATTCCAGTCAGTGAAGTACTCAAGAGTATACTTACTTCACACCCCTCATTGTAAGTGTTTTGAGTACCAAGTATCATTCCAGTCAGTGAAGTACTCAAGAGTATACTTACTTCACACCCCTCATTGTAAGTGTTTTGAGTACCAAGTATCATTCCAGTCAGTGAAGTACTCAAGAGTATACTTACTTCACACCCCTCATTGTAAGTGTTTTGAGTACCAAGTATCATTCCAGTCAGTGAAGTACTCAAGAGTATACTTACTTCACACCCCTCATTGTAAGTGTTTTGAGTACCAAGTATCATTCCAGTCAGTGAAGTACTCAAGAGTATACTTACTTCACACCCCTCATTGTAAGTGTTTTGAGTACCAAGTATCATTCCAGTCAGTGAAGTACTCAAGAGTATACTTACTTCACACCCCTCATTGTAAGTGTTTTGAGTACCAAGTATCATTCCAGTCAGTGAAGTACTCAAGAGTATACTTACTTCACACCCCTCATTGTAAGTGTTTTGAGTACCAAGTATCATTCCAGTCAGTGAAGTACTCAAGAGTATACTTACTTCACACCCCTCATTGTAAGTGTTTTGAGTACCAAGTATCATTCCAGTCAGTGAAGTACTCAAGAGTATACTTACTTCACACCCCTCATTGTAAGTGTTTTGAGTACCAAGTATCATTCCAGTCAGTGAAGTACTCAAGAGTATACTTACTTCACACCCCTCATTGTAAGTGTTTTGAGTACCAAGTATCATTCCAGTCAGTGAAGTACTCAAGAGTATACTTACTTCACACCCCTCATTGTAAGTGTTTTGAGTACCAAGTATCATTCCAGTCAGTGAAGTACTCAAGAGTATACTTACTTCACACCCCTCATTGTAAGTGTTTTGAGTACCAAGTATCATTCCAGTCAGTGAAGTACTCAAGAGTATACTTACTTCACACCCCTCATTGTAAGTGTTTTGAGTACCAAGTATCATTCCAGTCAGTGAAGTACTCAAGAGTATACTTACTTCACACCCCTCATTGTAAGTGTTTTGAGTACCAAGTATCATTCCAGTCAGTGAAGTACTCAAGAGTATACTTACTTCACACCCCTCATTGTAAGTGTTTTGAGTACCAAGTATCATTCCAGTCAGTGAAGTACTCAAGAGTATACTTACTTCACACCCCTCATTGTAAGTGTTTTGAGTACCAAGTATCATTCCAGTCAGTGAAGTACTCAAGAGTATACTTACTTCACACCCCTCATTGTAAGTGTTTTGAGTACCAAGTATCATTCCAGTCAGTGAAGTACTCAAGAGTATACTTACTTCACACCCCTCATTGTAAGTGTTTTGAGTACCAAGTATCATTCCAGTCAGTGAAGTACTCAAGAGTATACTTACTTCACACCCCTCATTGTAAGTGTTTTGAGTACCAAGTATCATTCCAGTCAGTGAAGTACTCAAGAGTATACTTACTTCACACCCCTCATTGTAAGTGTTTTGAGTACCAAGTATCATTCCAGTCAGTGAAGTACTCAAGAGTATACTTACTTCACACCCCTCATTGTAAGTGTTTTGAGTACCAAGTATCATTCCAGTCAGTGAAGTACTCAAGAGTATACTTACTTCACACCCCTCATTGTAAGTGTTTTGAGTACCAAGTATCATTCCAGTCAGTGAAGTACTCAAGAGTATACTTACTTCACACCCCTCATTGTAAGTGTTTTGAGTACCAAGTATCATTCCAGTCAGTGAAGTACTCAAGAGTATACTTACTTCACACCCCTCATTGTAAGTGTTTTGAGTACCAAGTATCATTCCAGTCAGTGAAGTACTCAAGAGTATACTTACTTCACACCCCTCATTGTAAGTGTTTTGAGTACCAAGTATCATTCCAGTCAGTGAAGTACTCAAGAGTATACTTACTTCACACCCCTCATTGTAAGTGTTTTGAGTACCAAGTATCATTCCAGTCAGTGAAGTACTCAAGAGTATACTTACTTCACACCCCTCATTGTAAGTGTTTTGAGTACCAAGTATCATTCCAGTCAGTGAAGTACTCAAGAGTATACTTACTTCACACCCCTCATTGTAAGTGTTTTGAGTACCAAGTATCATTCCAGTCAGTGAAGTACTCAAGAGTATACTTACTTCACACCCCTCATTGTAAGTGTTTTGAGTACCAAGTATCATTCCAGTCAGTGAAGTACTCAAGAGTATACTTACTTCACACCCCTCATTGTAAGTGTTTTGAGTACCAAGTATCATTCCAGTCAGTGAAGTACTCAAGAGTATACTTACTTCACACCCCTCATTGTAAGTGTTTTGAGTACCAAGTATCATTCCAGTCAGTGAAGTACTCAAGAGTATACTTACTTCACACCCCTCATTGTAAGTGTTTTGAGTACCAAGTATCATTCCAGTCAGTGAAGTACTCAAGAGTATACTTACTTCACACCCCTCATTGTAAGTGTTTTGAGTACCAAGTATCATTCCAGTCAGTGAAGTACTCAAGAGTATACTTACTTCACACCCCTCATTGTAAGTGTTTTGAGTACCAAGTATCATTCCAGTCAGTGAAGTACTCAAGAGTATACTTACTTCACACCCCTCATTGTAAGTGTTTTGAGTACCAAGTATCATTCCAGTCAGTGAAGTACTCAAGAGTATACTTACTTCACACCCCTCATTGTAAGTGTTTTGAGTACCAAGTATCATTCCAGTCAGTGAAGTACTCAAGAGTATACTTACTTCACACCCCTCATTGTAAGTGTTTTGAGTACCAAGTATCATTCCAGTCAGTGAAGTACTCAAGAGTATACTTACTTCACACCCCTCATTGTAAGTGTTTTGAGTACCAAGTATCATTCCAGTCAGTGAAGGACTCAAGAGTATACTTACTTCACACCCCTCATTGTAAGTGTTTGGAGTACCAAGTATCAATCCAGTCAGTGAAGTACTCAAGAGTATACTTACTACACACCCTCATTGTATGTGTTTTGAGTACCAAGTATCATTCCAGTCAGTGAAGTACTCAAGAGTATACTTACTTCACACCTCTCATTGTAAGTGTTTTGAGTACCAAGTATCATTCCAGTCAGTGAAGGACTCAATAGTATACTTACTACACACCCTCATTGTAAGTGTTTTGAGTACCGAGTATCATTCCAGTCAGTGAAGTACTCAAGAGTATACTTACTTCACACCCCTCATTGTAAGTGTTTTGAGTACCAAGTATCATTCCAGTCAGTGAAGGACTCGAGAGTATACTTACTTCACACCCCTCATTGTAATTAAGAAACTTCATTCTTTTCCATAGTTTTATTTTTTTCATCTATTTACATGCTGCAATGTAGTTTGAAAATATACCTTTGGACATTTCAGGACAAAATTCTTTGTTGACGGAGCATCCCCTTTTATCTGGCATTTTAATGCTAACAGTTTGTCCACTTCTTCTTTAATCTACAAAATAGAAAATATCAACATGATGATTTAATACAAATCTCTAAAATGTTAACAATTTTGGAATGAACTGTTTTACAGTGTTTAGTCAATAAAAAGGACATCTAAACACTCTGAATCATATCACCAAATACCTTCGTTAGAAATTGTGCAGTGAAATTACAGACAATTAAGGCATAACAAGAGTAGGGCAGAAAAAATATATGCCATATAGTGGTATATACTTTCCTACATTGAAATTAGATCTGCATCATTCTAAGAGTGGTTAGCTGACATGCTATAAAAAATGTAGGAGAAAATCTCCAGACAAAAAAATCAAATACTGAAATGAACAAAGGGCAATAACTTTTGCAAAAATCGTTGAATCAAAATTCCTTTCACAACTTCATATAATGATTATAATGTATAACAAGTTTTAAAGAGATCCGTTGAAAAATGTAGGAGGAGATTACCGGACAAAAATCAAATACTGAAAGGCAATAACTTTTGCAAAAATTATTGTTGAATCAAAATTCTTTTCAAGGAAACACAACAACATATCATGATTATTTAACCTACTAAGTTTCAAAGAAATCATTCAAAAAATGTAGGAGGAAATATCCGGACAAAAAATCAAATACTAAAATGAACAAAGGGCAATAACTATTGAAAGAATTGTCAAATCAAAATTCTTGTAAGGGAGACACAACTTCATATCATGATTATGATGCATACCAAGTTTCAAAGAGATCGGTCGAAAGATGTAGGAGGAGATTGCCAGACAAACAAATGTTTACACCGGTCGGCCGGACAACCCCATACCATAATACTTCCGTCAAATGTGACGGGCGTATAAAAATGAATTTTGTGTTTTAAATGTTGCTACTGACAATAGTTCTGACAGCTATATGTACTATTATTAGACAAGAGATCCCAGAGGAGGATCTTGGCGACTATCATCTACAATCATCTGACCTATACGAGTTTGATATTTTCTCAGTAAACAATAAATACATCTTGATTGAACCTTTTAGCAGGCTTCGTACTGCTAGGTGTGACACTGTCCTTTCAAAGTGAGGTAGATGTTTGACCTAATTTGAACAGTCATAATCAAGATGTCTGCCAGGTGGTCAACTTGATTTTTTCTTGTCAGTCTTAAAATTGACCATGCAAAAAAAGGACCAAGTGGAACCTACATATGAATTTGAGAAAAATAGTCAGATAATTGGAGTTATTTGAATTATGTCTCTAAAGTAAAAAATTGTACAAAATTGGTATCGGTACTTTATTACTCATATAAATCAACTGAAGTTCTTTTGATTTTTGATTCTGCAAAAGGTAACCAGTGGGCCTAAATTGGTCATCTTGTTTAACACGACTACTGTAGAACTATGATAAATTACATCTCATTATATATATGTCATGAGCAATAACATGTAAAATTTCATGAACTTTTAAGTGAACATTGCATACAAAATTAATGCTTGGGGTCTAATCACACATATGTACTAGGGGTGTTACAAGTACCCGAATAAGGGTCAGTTTCAATAGGAAACCATTATAAAACTGTGTAGCTGGGAACCCTCCTGCCTGTGTCAACTATGTTTAAAGAAGAATAAAATATTTTACTATCCCAGTCATATGTTCTGCTTTCATTTATTGCATATGGTACACACAAATCTGAACGACAAACTGAAAAAGTAATAGTAAATCTGTCAGCAAATCACAGGCAATGACAGCCAAGCTGAATTCCAAATTAAGCCAAATACTAACTACACTTCTTCAAGTCCATGAGACAAGCACTTATACTTAGTCTGATCCAAATCTAATCAGTAGAACTGGAGAAAAATTTAGAAAAATGTGCCAGCCAATCAGAGGCCATGTCGGCCATATTGGATTCCAAAATGAACCAAAAAATAACGACAATTACAGGACAAACATCTTTACCAAACTTGATCCAAATTTGAACAGTGAAACTGAAAAAAAATGCCTTATAAATTTAAAATAGTTAATGGACAGACGAGTCACTATGGCAATAGCTCACTTGGTCCTTCAGACCAGGTGAGCTAAAAATGACAACTGATGCATGGCAAAAAAAAAAAGCACACCAAGGTCACCAAGCTACAATTTTTTTACTGATGTCCTCAAAAGAAAAATGCATTTGTTTTCTTTTAATCCAATAAATACTAAAAAAAGTAAGTTGTGGAGTTTGTGCCAGACTGTATCACAATGTTAACTTAATGTTGAATATTGTCTGTCACTGATCATGACCGTTTACGGTTGTGGACCATGTTCGACATGAATTATTCTACATACAATGTTTGTGGAGGACCGTAGATAATTACATAGGAATATATAATTTGTCAATAAATATTTCAACAAATACACCGAAACCTTTCTACTGCTGTGATTACTGCTGGTTAAAATGGTGTGAATTTACACACAAATCGTTACACACAGCTGGCAATGTTAATCACTACTGGAGCACGTCACTACATGACCATCACCTGATCACTTTGGGGGACAGCCTTTTTGGATTTCCTCGTCATCCTGATACTCTTATGGATATCCCCACTACATGCTACCTCCTCTATCACACTTTTCTCATCCTCAACTGATAAACCCCGACTAATTTGCTCCTTGACAATTTCCATGTTGAACCGGTTTTTCAGGCTAAATACACTGTTAGAGGCTGAATTCACACTGTTCCACGATGTCACCAATATGGACGGTAATTGTTTTCCTCTCTTCAACTTGGCTAACCATACATATTGTCTCAGAGACTTGAATTCCTTCACAAGCAGGCTTGACTTATCTGACATTGATGATGAAATCCTGGTCAGCTGGTCTGTCCCACTAAGATAAGTCAGGTTTACTGGCCCTTGTACTTCACAAAACAAGTGCACACACATCTTATGTTACATGATGTACCCACATGATACTTTTCTAATCTAAAACAAATATTTCTTACATCTAAAATCCTAAATCTGTTCAGTCCACCTTGAACAATGTTTTATGCGAATGTATCTACAATCTTATCAAGATTGAAGTGGGTCAGACTGTAGGGATGAAAAACCACCTGATAAAGTAGGGTGTTGATAATGGATTAAATCTTAGTCACAGGATTAATGTGTCCTCTACACCAGGATTTACAAAGCAAAGGTGAGAACTTTACTCTCCATATTTGGTGCATTTATAATTTCCTATACTATAATGTATTGGACATGATCGTACAGTGGTAAAACTGGCTTACTGTTATACACTGTGGTTAGAGGGAAATTCCCTTCAGTTCAGTCTGTAGATAGAAACACACTACTTAGAAAAATGTGTTTGTAGACTTCCCTGTTGAACCTGGGATGTAGATAAATTTGTCTTTGATGGAGCAAAAGTGTTTATGCTCAGAATAGTGTCCAAGTCACTTTACAAGATTTGGCTAAAAGGAATTTTCCTTTAGCTAAGGCATTTGACTAAACAGCTCGAGATCCATGGTTCCGTCCCCAGAGAAGCATGCCTCCTTTTTATTTCTCCTTATTTCATCAGAAACATCTAATTCTTCTATCTCATTGTGCAGTCACATTTGAAATGCCCCACTGTGTATTATCACTCCCCAACAATATTGATCCTATCCAGCGGTTATTACCTGGTAATACATTGCTTTACACTCCGTTTGCATCATCGTAACCTCTTTCTCCTGTAGTTGTTATGTAGAATTTCCCTCCTCCTGTAGGTCATTGTGTTCCTAATTACACACGATACATGGTTATATTGTTTAAATTGATGACACAATCCTGTCGGCTGTGGTTACACACAATGATGTTTGATGACACAATCCTGTCAGCTGTGGTTCAGTAACACACAATGATGTTTGATGACACAATCCTGTCAGCTGAGGTTACACACAATGATGTTTGATGATGCAATCTTATTATGAGGTGATGAAACCCATATGAAAGCTGTCTTTCTAACCTATGGAGAGAAAGTTTACTTTTCCCCCAACTAAAATGGTAAGAAAACAATGAAATGGACACCATAAGCGTAAGCGCTCCATAAAGAATATGTTCGTTGCCAACTGCGTTCATACTATCGTATACGCAGTCAAACTGAAGATCAATTCTTATATTTACATATTTTCCTACTATGATGGTACACTCAGAATAAAGCTTATTCCAATACATTTGCTTTTATAATGGTACAAAGCCTGCGAGCAGCGATGGATCTCCAATGTTACCATTATGAAGTCACAATGTTAATTACGTCATCAATAGGAAACAATGGTCTCCAAGGAATCTCACTGTGTATACGGTAATGTATACGCAGTCACGGTTTACACAGCTTCAATGGGAGCGAATGTAAATATATTAGTATAAAAATATTAAAATGTGCCGCAAGAAGCTACTTGAAGCTTTACTTTTTCCTATTTACTAAAAGACTTCTATATCAACTACACAATGTCTACTGTAAGACAAACTACCCTAACCCTGCATAGGTGATCACTTGTTCCGAGCTATCATCAGATCCTGGCATGGTTTCTGTGACCTATATACAAGGTGTCAAACAACAATATCACTTTCTATAGGTATTTGATCCCATATTATAACTTGTAGCTTGGTGTATAAAGCTTTCATGTGAAGTAAAGAGATGTCATTTGCTTGTTTTCATTGTACTTTGTACATGAATGGTCACAAAAACAAGCAGCATGTTAAATGTTTATTCTTTTTTTGAAGTGACTATTGGAGAGTTATCCACCTCTACTGAAATACTGTAATTACTAACTGCCTCGGGGCTGAAATGGGTAAATCTCAACTTGGGGGAAGATTCTTAAACTGTCAAATCAAACCCTCAGGTTTGACTTCAAAATCTTTCCAAAAGGTTAAGCTTTGCTAATAATCTCCCCACAAAGGGTGAAGGATTCTATACCCTCCCTATATATTATCCAAACCTCCAATGCAACCAGTGAAAGATTTTCTGGCTTAGTAAAGATGAGGGGATATGCTAGTCAGGATATTTAATACAGGATACAAGTGAATGACACTTGTGACCAAACATTAACAGGTATCTTGAGATTTAATACAGGATACAAGTGACTGACACTTGTGACCAAACATTAACAGGTAACTGGAGATTTAATACAGCATTAATGTGACTGACACTTGTGACCAAACATTAACAGGTATCTGGAGATTAAATACAGGATACAAGTGACTGACACTTGTTACCAAACATTAATAGGTAACTGGAGATTTAATACAGGATACAAGTGACTGACACTTGTTACCAAACATTAACAGGTAACTGGAGATTTAATACAGGATACAAGTGACAGACACTTGTTACCAAACATTAACAGGTAAGTGGAGATTTAATACAGGATACAAGTGACTGACACTTGTTACCAAACATTAACAGGTAACTGGAGATTTAATACTGGATACAAGTGACTGACACTTGTTACCAATCATTAATAGGTAACTGGAGATTCAATACAGGATACAAGTGACTGACACTTGTTACCAAACATTAACAGGTAACTGGAGATTTAATACAGCATTAATGTGACAGACACTTGTTACCAAACATTAACAGGTATCTGGAGATTAAATACAGGATACAAGTGACAGACACTTGTTACCAAACATTAATAGGTATCTGGAGATTTAATACAGCATTAATGTGACTGACACTTGGTACCAAACATTAACAGGTATCTGGAGATTTCATGCAGCATTAATGTGACTGACACTTGTTACCAAACATTAACAGGTAACTGGAGATTTAGTACAGCATTAATGTGACAGACACTTGTTACCAAACATTAACAGGTATCTTGAGATTTAATACAGCATTAATGTGACTGACACTTGGTACCAAACATTAACAGGTATCTGGAGATTTCATGCAGCATTAATGTGACTGACACTTGTTACCAAACATTAACAGGTATCTGGAGATTTCATGCAGCATTAATGTGACTGACACTTGTTACCAAACATTAACAGGTATCTGGAGGTTAAATACAGGATACAAGTGACAGACACTTGTTACCAATCATTAATAAGTAACTGGAGATTTAATACTGGATACAAGTGACTGACACTTGTTACCAATCATTAATAGGTAACTGGAGATTCAATACAGGATGCAAGTGACTGACACTTGTTACCAAACATTAATAGGTATCTGGAGATTAAATACAGGATACAAGTGACAGACACTTGTTACCAATCATTAATAAGTAACTGAAGATTTAATACTGGTTACAAGTTACAGACACTTGTTACCAATCATTAATAGGTAACTGGAGATTTAATACAGGATACAAGTGACTGTCACTCGTTACCAAACATTAACAGGTATCTGGAGATTTAATACAGGATACAAGAGACTGACATTTGTGACCAAACATTAACAGGTAACTGGAGATTTAATACAGCATTAATGTGACAGACACTTGTGACCAAACATTAACAGGTATCTGGAGATTTAATACAGCATTAATGTGACTGACACTTGTTACCAAACATTAACAGGTAACTTGAGATTTAATACAGCATTAATGTGACTGACACCTGTTACCAAACATTAACAGGTAAGTTGAGATTTAATACAGCATTAATGTGACAGACACTTGTGATCAAACATTAACAGGTATCTGGAGATTTAATACAGGATACAAGTGACTGACACTCGTTACCAAACATTAACAGGTATCTGGAGATTTAATACAACATTAATGTGACTGACACTTGTTACCAAACATTAACAGGTAAGTTGAGATTTAATACAGCATTAATGTGACAGACACTTGTGATCAAACATTAACAGGTAACTGGATATTTAATACAGCATTAATGTGACAGACACTTGTGACCAAACATTAATAGGTATCTGGAGATTTAATACAGCATTAATGTGACTGACACTTGTTACCAAACATTAACAGGTATCTGGAGATTTAATACAGGATACAAGTGACTGACACTTGTGACCAAACATTAACAGGTACCTGGAGATTAAATACAGGATTTGTGTGACGGACACCTGTGACAAATATTTTACTAACCTGTGTGTTGTTATTAGCAGAGCAGAAATAACGAAGAAGATGGTGTCGGAACAGCCGTTGATGGAAACGACACAGGAAGATAACCATGTTCAAAGTCAACAGGCAGACGAGTCGGTGATTAGTTCAAAGGACAGGATATGTAAAGGAGAGAAAAATCCTTCAGCAACTCTGTCAAATAGGAAAACAACAGAATCCAGCAAAAATGGTTTCTGTTGAAGCGTCAGTCTTCTGCTGATTAATGATAATATTAGGTAAATGTCTGTTTCCAAAAGTCCTGAGGAAACAAATAGGGTAAGTATTGAAATAAAGCCAAGCAATGTAACTTGTGTTTCTGACTCTCGAAAAGGTAGGTTAACTTACTAGAATACAAACATATCTTTACCAGCCAAGGACATTCATTTTCTTCTTTGAGCCATTTTATTTTGCAGTATTCAAATTTTCTTCTTGCATCAACATCCAAATTGTGATAAAACATTCCCTTCTGAAAACTCATTTATCCGTTTAGCTATTAACATACATCAGAAAATACATGGTAAGAAAAGAACACAAATATGTCAATGTTTCTTAAAACATTTTTGCAAAGGACTGGTAGTGCCAGTTAGCGTCAAACTCAACTAGCCCAGTTAGCCATTTAGTTGTTTAATCTTAGGCCTGTAGGTATGGAAAGCCGTGTTTCCGTGTGTACATGATTTGCAAAGCAAATGTACATGGTTTGTTTATGCATGTACCTCGTTTGACTGTGTATATCTGGTGAGCCTTTGAATGCGAATGGTATGTCTCTACCTTAACATAGTGTGTCTACCTGTACCATGTTTGTGCCTTTACTTGC